AGCACAAATGTGAGTAGTAAGATGCAGTAGTAGTAGTAGTAGTAGTAGTAGTAGTAGTGGTAGTAGTAAGTAGTAGTAGTGGTAGTAGTAGTAGTAGTAGTAGTAGTAGTAATAATAATAATACTCATATCAATAGTAGCAATAACAACAATATAAATAATAATAATCATCATAATAATAATAGACACCGTGTTGGTCATTGTGGTAGCGATGCTGCTGCCAAGCTGACACACTCGAGCCCTGAGCCCTAGACTCCACGTACATATATATATATATATGTATATGCATATATATATATATATTTAGTTATTTATGTGTTTTGTATTTATTCATTTATAAATTAACCTATATGTATATATGTATATAATATATATATATATACATACACTTGCATATATGTATATACCAACATGTACTATCGACAAGGTATTTGAGAACTTGACACACCCTTGCGGCTCAGACGTCAGATTCTGTTCGGGAAACAGCAATCATCAATATCATTGTCATCAGCCCTTTCAGGATTGCAAAATATCGAACTTATCACCACGAAACGAACACTGATGCAGTAAACAGCACCAGGAAATTACCCGATATAGAGTTGTTATTGCAGGTGCACCTCCCCAGCCAATAACAGCAACGAAAATACTCTCACCAGTCTTGAAACAACGCCCGGAAGGTGCACACACTCACAAACCCTAAACCCTGAACCCTAAACCCCAAACCCTAAAAGCCCCGAGCTCACAACAATCTGCTAAACCCTAAACCCTACAAACCCCTCTAAACCCTTATAAACCCCTACAAACCCCTACAAACACCCCTATAAGCCCCTATAACACTCTGACTCTGCCAGGCCATGGCTTGCTTGGTAACTAACAACAACCTGCTAATCCCTAAACCCTAAACCCTAGACTCTGCCAGGCCTTGGCTTGCTTGGTCGGCTTCCTCCATGTCATCCTTCGGCCCGGCCGCTCGGGAGAGTATGGTTCCCAAAGGTTTAGGGCTTTCTAAAATTTATAGGGGTTTAAAGGGGCTTATAGGGGTTTATAGGGGTTTATAGGGGTTTATAGGGCTTTGTAAGGGTTTATAGGGGTTTGTAAGGGTTTATAGAGGTTTCTAGGGGGATCCCCAAGGTGTTGGATGGATCCACAGTACCCTACCCCCTTAAACCACACCCCCTTAGGATCCTAAGGATCCTTTGAGGGTGAGGGTTTAGGGTTTAGTGGTCAGAGGGTCTTCTTTAGTGGACCCCTGAACCCTCCAACCCTGCACAATGAAACCCCAAACTCTAAACCCTTAAACTTAAACCCCAATCCTAAACCCATCACCAGGACAGTTACTGCGTGTTCGGATATGGAAATAGGGTCCCTTTTTGGGTCCCCAATCAAGTACGGCACCCTTATAAAAAGGAACCCCAAAAGGGACCCTAATTTAGAGAACTACCCACAAGCTCCGAGGACGCAAGGCAGATCCCCAACTGCCCTCCATTACATCCTGCATAACTAGCCCCGAAACCCTAAGCCCGAAACCCTACAACCCTAAACCCTAAACCCAAAAACCCTAAAGCCCGAAACCCTAAGTCCCCTAAACCCTAAGTCCCCTAAACCCTAAACCGGCACTATCCTTTTAGGGTTTTAGGGATCCTCCAGCACCGTGACGATGTGTGTGTGTTTGGCCGTGTTGGGTTTGGCACAGTCAATGCAACTGTGGTACTGTAGGGTTCTCTATGGTTCTACAATGGGGTTCCCTTTAAGGGTATTTAAATTTATGGGTTCTATGATACGGGGATCAGAACGGAACAGTCCAAAGGAAGTCGGGATCTGCTTCGGCTGTTGGCGAGCCCAGGGTGCCTGGAAAATACTCTGGTAATCCAGGCACGCACTGAAGGTCATTGTGTACGCTTGGGAAAGCGCACACCTGGCCTAAAACTTTTGCTAAAAACCCGTTCGATCCAACCCCCAAGGGTTGCATCCTACGCCCTGCTGAAACCCAGAAATCAAACCCCAAAATCCTCAATCCTAAACCCGAAACTCACATTCCCAGCTCCAACCCCAAGCCCTGAATGCTTCAGCCTGTCCTCGCTGAAGTCGCCCTCGTCCTGACTGTGGGGGGAGATCATCGACCTGCAACGCACATCCTTTCGTGCGTAGCTTAGATTCGGCAACCCTATACCCTGAAACAGCTCAATGCTTCTACAACGGCGTAAGTAATAGGATTTTTCAAAGGTTTAGATGGACCCCATTTAGCAAGACCAAGACCTTTAAATATGGATCTGAAGCCCTACACGACACCTGAAGAGCTAGTATAGAAACCCTAACAGCCTGGCAGAACTTCCAACCCCAAAAGTTAGACCCTCAAGTACTTCTACGACCAAAACCACCACCACGATGGCGACGACCACGATGCGCATGGAGATGAAGGCCTAGGCCTAGTCGTTCCTTCATGCGGGACTGCTACTGTTACCCAATCTGTTCTTGGAGATTCATGGGTAGGTTTTAGTTTATAAAGAAGGGTAACTCTCGTTAGAACCCATAGTAGGGTACGAACCCCACATAGAACTACCTATGAACCTCCGGATCCAAGTTCCCCAAGAGGCTGTGGGCTAAACCGGGTTAAGGCTTAAGCCTAAACCCTGAACCCTAAACCCCGAATCCTCAAGACAGCAATAAATAGAAATTGTGTCGTTTCCTTTGAATCATCAGGTTAAGCATAAGGTACATGCCTTCATTTCTGCTCCCTCACCCTCCTCTGTGTCCTTCAATGACGAGAAGGGCCACCATGAAATGCATGGCCCTCCGCTGTTCTCCTTCCATTAAAGGCCGAACATACGGACATGGCCTTGGTTTGTTATTCAAGTATGGGCGAACCGAAGGTACATGGCCCTCTTCTGCCTTCCTTCAGTGCTGCATCAACTTTAGTAGCTTCGGCTATCTTTCAAAAGCAGCCATCCAGAATCTTTCAAAAGCAGGTAGCAACCACTTCGCGGCAACAAATAGTGGTATCCTCAACCTAAACCCTAAACCCTAAACCCTAAACCCTAAACCCTAAACCCATCTTTCAACAGCAAGCTTTGGTCTGGGCTACGGCATACCAGCAGTTTTTCCGAAAGCAGCCAGCGCCAGCTCCCGAGCAGTGTTTTCCGTAGCAGACAGCAGGCAAGCAGCCCATAGCACATAGCAAAGAATATACCACTTTCGCTCACAAAAACCATGGACCCAAACCCAACCCTAAACCCTAAACCACATACAGTTTCTATAAACCCTGAATTGAACCCCAAAGCCGTAGCTTTGGACCGGCACCCTTGCCCTGCCCGAGTGCAGCCCTGGATGGGGCGGGCAGACGTAGCGGCCAAAGAATACCACCCCTACAGTCTGGCTCAAACCTAAAACAATAAGTTATTACCCTAAACTCTAAAGCCAAAATTGCGCGAAACAATAAGTTATTAAGTTATTACCCTAAACTCTAAAGCCAAAATTGCGGGAAATCTTTAAAGGCAATTAGACCTGGTTAAACCCTCAGTTACCTGAGGCCCTTAGCCGCTGTAGCTGTGAATGGTTGAAACATGGGCCTTGTCGGCAGCGCTGCCAACAACTTCTGGAGAAATACAGGGATACCGAGGTCTCCGCACCTTGGGGGGAGGGAAGCGGGAGTTCTGGATGAGTGGGGCATGGGGTCTTTTAAAATTCTAGGTTTAAGATTTAGGGATGTGAGTTAGGGTTTAGGATTTAGAGTTTAGGGTTTAGGAGTTTACAGTGTGTGATGCGTGTATCCTTTATCTCTCCAATGTGAGGCTTGCGGGTCTTGCTGCCCAAATACGGCTATGAGATGCTCGTGAGGCTTCCTAAGCCCTGAACCCTTAGCACTAAATCCTATGAGATGCTCGTGACTTCTTCCATTTAGCATCTGGGGTGTATGAGGCTCCTGTCCGGTTTAGGGTTTAGGGTTTAGGGTTTAGGGTTTAGGGTGCAAAACCCTAGAAAGGGCCATAATCCCGAACGCCTTACACTAAAATTAGAAAGGGTCCCAAACCATGCACTCTGTGGCCTCTATAACAGTCGTACAGCAAGGGCATGTTCACGGCTTCAGGGGTTTTGAGTTTAGTGTCCTAACCTGCTTTTTAAGCCC